ACAGTAGCAGCACCGTTAAACCCTACAGTAGCAGCACCTTTAAACCCTACAGTAGCAGCACCGGTAAACCCTACAGCAGCAGCACCGGTAAACCCTACGGTAGCAGCACCGTTAAACCCTACGGTAGCAGCACCCAGGGGCGGACTGACCATTTGGAAACTCGGGCACTGCCCGAGGGCCCAGGGTCAGTAGGGGGCCCCATGAGATGCCCCTGGTACATTTTTCATAGGCTTTTTTGAGTTTGGGCAAGGACACAGGGGCCCCATGATCCCCTATTGCCCGGGGGCCCCATGAGTTGTCAGTCCGCCCCTGGCAGCACCGTTAAACCCTACCGTAGCAGCACCGTTAAACCCTACAGTAGCAGCACCTTTAAAATTCCCATTTCTTTTTCCTTTTATTGACTGAAGGTAGCAGCACCATAAAATTCTCATTGCTTTTTTCTTTTTTTGACTGTAAGGTAGCAGCACTGTTAAAATCCCATTTTCTTTCTCTTTTTGAAAGGTTGCCGGCAGGTGCAAGCACCACTGCCTCCTTAACAACTAGTAACTTCCCCAGCTTCATTCACTTATGGCACACACCTACCTCCTTCATGGCCACCCTCCAGCTATGACGAGTCCAGGCACCTGTCATTGGTGCTTCCCTGGTCACCTCTATATCCGCTGCTGATTCTTTTAGGTCCTGTGGTGATCCTCTTTGGCAATTGGGCAGCCACTGATGATGTCAGGACTTATTCTTAGCATCTTCCACATGCTGAGAATGAGCTGACAATGTACATTGCACGTTGCATGCGCCAGACAGTGTACACAGAAAATAAAAAATTGCTCGGGGAAAGAGGAAGAATTTTTTTGGCAGAAGAGACTTTGCATGTCTTTTCTTCCACAAATCCCTAACTCCTAGTTGTTTTTTAATTTTAGAATTTAATTCCGCTTTAAGTTAGAATGAATGTTGGTTTTATACATATCTTTTTTTTTGTCATAGTCAGGATCTATATATATATATATATATTTATTTTTTAAAATTTATATATTTATTTAGTGCTGCATAACTGGTAGGGGCTACATAAAGGCCTGAAATAAATAAATAAACAAACAAATATATAAATAAATATTTATAGAAATATTTCAGCCGGGAAATATGACATATTACATAAAAAATAACTGGTCGGGGCTACATAAAGGCCTGAAATAAATAAATAAACAAACAAATATATAAATAAATATTTATATAAAAATTTCAGCTGGGAAATAGGACGAATTACATAAAATTATTTAGTATTTCCATATGAAGTGAAAAGTTGGAGTTCTTGGTGCTCTTTCAGTTGTATTCCAGACTCTCCTTTGCTTCTCTGTTTAAAAAATAGCATTTCATTTACAGAGCTCAATAGGTCAAGCTGAAATTTACACACCCCAGTGGAATGAATTCTTACAGCAGTGACTTTTTAATGGTGACTATACACTGGTTTTGTACATTTTTATAATTTTTTACTTATTAACCCCTTCACGCCGGCGCCTCCCGGCCCTTTAAGAGTTTCAGAAGCCGGGAGGCAGGGCGGGGTTTAGGGTCATGTGACCGCCGTGACGTGTCATCACGGTGGTCACATGATCGGGAAAGGTCCCGATCGAAAGAGGAGATCGGGACCTTTCCGTGAGTACCGGACATGTGTGCTGGTAGCGCGCAGGGCGCGCAGTCTCGGCACATATGTCCTTTTTTAATAGAACGCAAATGTGTGGCCGCTTGGCGTCTAGGCCCAGAGGCTGCACATTTGCGTTCAGCTGGCGTGAAGAGGTTAAATAAAACAAGCACACACAAAACTAATAAGTCCTCAGAGAAAAACCCCCTCCCTTATGGTTGACTCTGGATTTTCAATCATAGAGAGAGTATCTGAAAGGAAACAGCTTTTGCTGTTCTCTCTCTTTAGAAAACCCATGGTGCTCTGGGAATCCTGGGTTACAGGTGCACCTCCCCCCACCTTGCTAAATAGTTTACTTGTAAAGCATATGTTTTATATAGACAATAAAATGTTCTATATATAGAAAAAAAATATATATCTGTATACATATAACTTACAAGTTGAAACTGCAAAACCATACATGAATTAAATGACCTCAAACCACTCTAGTTTACCTTTTATTATGTGCCAGGGGTAGATCCCAGTTATGATCCCTGCTACATAATCTGCCTTCCTTTCCCAGACTCTCCAGTATTACTCCATGGCAGCAGCCACACCCTTCAGTACAAGTGTGGCCATATATGAGGTAAGCATTCACTGCCACGGGATGTGGTGACTTATGCAATAGAAGTATACAGAATGAGGGCATAGTTAGACTTTAGTTAGAATGTATATTGGCTTCGTATATATATTTTCTTTTTCTCATGACTACAAAAGTGATGTATATATATATATACAGTATATATATATATATTTTTTAAATGTTATTGATATATTTATCTATTGAAACATTTCACCCAGGTAAATATGACATATTTCATATAATTCATTTGTATTTCCATATGAAGAAGAAGATGAAGTTCTTATTTCTTTTTTCCAGCACTCTTCATTATTATAGCAATGGCATTACCTCACTGCATTGATCACAGGACCATACGTACAGCACGCTGCTATTTTCTGATTGGCAGTCAGCAACTGTCACACAGAAGACAGCAGGAGGCAGAAAATATTGAGGGGCATCAATCACATTAATGGTAAAATTAAATGAAAATCAGGTTACCCATCAGTTAACAAAGTCTGTGAGATGTTTGTTTCTTGTATTTTGTAATGCCTGTGCCTCCAATCCTGAGTATCTAACTGAGACAGATTTGTCCAGGTCTGAGAGAGAATAACAATGGAAGATGAGTTTATTTTAAAGTGCTGAGCAAACTGTTGGCGCTATATAAATCCTGTATAATAATAATAATAATATATAAATCCTGTATAATAATAATATAATAATAATAATAATATATAAATCCTGTATAATAATAATAATATAAATAATAATAATAATATATAAATCCTGTATAATAATAATAATAATAATAATATATAATCCTGTATAATAATAATAATAATATATAAATCCTGTATTATAATAATAATATATAAATCCTGTATAATAATAATAATAATAATATATAAATCCTTAAATAATAATAATAATATATAAATCCTGTATAATAATAATAATAATAATAATATAATATAAATCCTGTATAATAATAATAATAATAATAATATATAAATCCTGTATAATAATAATAATAATATATAATCCTTTATAATAATAATAATAATAATAATAATAATAATAATATATAAATCCTGTATAAATAATAATAATAATATATAAATCCTGTATAAATAATAATAAATATATAAATCCTTATAATAATAATAATAATAATATATAAATCCTGTATAATAATGATAATAATAATATATAAAATCCTGTAAATAAATAATAATATATAAATCCTGTATAATAATATATAATATATAAATCCTGTATAATAATAATAATAATAATATATAAAATCCTGTATAATAATAATAATATATAAATCCTGTATAATAATCCTATAATAATATATAAATCCTGTATAATAATATATATAAAATCCTGTATAATAATAATAATAATATATATAAATCCTGTATAATAATAATATATAAATGCTGTATAATAATAATAATAATAATAAGACACATTTTTATCAAGATGAGCCAGATTTTTACTTAACCACTTCAAGTCCGGACACTTTCACCCCCTTCCTGCCCAGGCCAATTTTCAGCTTTCAGCGCTGTCACACTTTGAATGACAATTGCGCGGTCATGCAACACTGAATTAATTTTTTTAGCATTTTTTTGAGAAAGATAAAACTTTATTTTGGTGGTATTTATTCACCACTGGGATTTTAATTTTTTTGCTATATAAATGAAAAAGTCCAAAAATGTTGAAAAAAGTGTTTTTCTTATACAATTTTGCAAATAAATAATTTATCTTCATAAATCTTGGCTAAAATTTATTCAGCTATCTTTTTAGTAAAAGACAAATAACTCAAATTAGTTTATAACCAAAAATTATAATTTTTTTTAAAAAATTTTTTTTATATTTTTATTTTTATATTATTATTTATGTTTTTTTTAACATGCTGTCACCTTAGCAGTACAGTGTTCCCATAATGACACTGTACTGCTTGTGGGGGGTGATGAATATTTTTTTTTTTTTTTACAATGATTGCTTTTATACCCATAAAGGCTATAAAAGCAATCATTTCTCCTTCTCTCTGCTGCATTTTTGCAGCCATTGAGAAATACTGTGAGCAGGGGAGGACTGACCATTTGGAAACTCGGGCACTGCCCAAGGGCCCGGGGTCAGTAGGGGGCCCCATGAGATGCCCCTGGTACCTTTTTTTCATAGGCTTTTTTGAATTTGGGCAAGGACACAGGAGCCCCATGATCCCCTATTGCCCAGGAGCCCCATGAGTTGTCAGTCTGTGAGAGCTGTGATTGGTCACAGATTGTCACATGGTACAAGGCTGTTGTGAATAGCCTTGTACCATGTGACCTCTGTGATCATTCACAGATTTCACATGTAGTAAGCAATGATGTCAGGAAGTGACATCTTGCTTACACCTTTTCATGTGATTACTGATTGGCCAATCAGTGATCACATGATCGGGACCTCACACAGAGGTCCCGTACAACGATCAGTATTCCACTGTGTCCGGAAGACACAGTGGGCACCAGATCGCAGTGCCGTGCGCTTCCAGGGAGCGTGCACAATCCAAAATGGCGGGCGCCGTTTATGAATGGCAACCCGCCCCTGCACTGCCACTGTCCAGCCGTTTATATACAACAGCCGGACGGGAAGTGGTTAAAACAGACTCGCAGTTAAAAATGGGTCAGGGGCAGGTTTTATTCTATTGCAGCAGGAGATGAATCTGTGCCTTGCTGTGCAACAGAACTGATAGCTTCCTCCATTGACTTTACTTCTTTTTGTGTATTTTACTTTTTTTTTTTTTACATTTTTTTAGACAATGGGAAAAAAAATGTGAAATACAACTTGAAAAAACTATAATATAATAATAAATACTTTTATTAGGCCATGCCTTTTTCCATCATAGCATGCATGATCATGTGCTAAAGGGAAACAATTTACAAAAATTGGTATTTGAGGTTTTTAGCATCTTTGTACTTTTAACACTGAGTCTATGCCTACATTACTGTTGCATTAACTTTTTTAAGTTTCAAACTTTTTTTTTGTTTGTTTTGTGTAAGAAACCAAAGAAAGTGCACCAAAAATTTGTGAAAAAAAGGGAGGAGTGACCTAAAATTATTTTATTTATTCATATATATTTATACATAATAATAAATAATTAAACTGCGATAATACCCCATACTCTCGTTCCGCAAAGCCATAAACATACAGTGGGGCAAAAAAGTATTTAGTCAGCCACCAATTGTGCAAGTTCTCCCACTTACAAAGATGAGAGAGGCCTGTAATTGGCATCATAGGTAGACCTCAACTATGAGAGACAAAATGAGAAAACAAATCCAGACAATCACATTGGCTGATTTGGAAAGAATTTATTTGCAAATTATGGTGGAAAATAAGTATTTGGTGAATATGAAAAGTTCATGTCAATACTTTGTTATATATCCTTTGTTGGCAATGACAGAGGTCAGACGTTTCCTGTAGATCTTCACAAGGTTGGCACACACTGTTGCTGGTATGTTGGCCCATCCTCCATGCAGATCTCCTCTAGAGCAGTGATGTTTTGGGGCTGTCGCTGGGCAACACGGACTTTCAACTCCCTCCAAAGGTTTTCTATGGGGTTGAGATCTGGAGACTGGCTAGGCCAGTCTTATTATATTTGTGGGAATGATTTTCTTTATATTTTATTTTTTATAATTTTTACACATTTTGTTCATATATTTATATTTTTCTAGGAGATTTATTGTTAAAAAATTTGATTGTCACTAAATATAGGGTGGGTAGTGTAGAAGGTGGGGACCCATTCATATTGTTATTTAATTATTTATCGCTTTCAAGGGTGAAAGTTTCTTTGTGAATATTGGGATAGTTTGGTAGATTTATTTGGTACCGTATTTTTCACATTTATATCTTTTTCACCTTTGCTGCGGCTCCGGAGCACACTGCCCACCAGGTGACAGGCAATAGGGTTGCCATAGCTCAGTGGTCGGCAAGCCGCGGCTCTTTACACATTTTAATGCAGCTCTTCTGTGTGCCGGGCGCCCGCTCCCCTCCCTCCTCTCGGGCGGCCGCCCCAAAAGTCAGGACTCTGCAGCTAGCCCAGCAATGGGCAAACTACGGCCCGGCGGACCTTTTAATCCGGCCCGCGGAGCGTGGCAAACATTGGCTGTCAGGATGTAGGCGGGGCAGCGTGACGAACTCCTCTCCTCTCACAGTCCGCCCTGAAGACTGGAACGGCGCGGGAACACGGCGAGAGGAACGCGCGCAGCAAAGGTAAGTGAATTGACACAATATGGGGAATGAATTACTATAGGGGGGATGAATTACTATAGGGGGGATGAATTACTATATGGGGGATGAATTACTATAGGGGGGATGAATTACTATAGGGGGATGAATTACTATGGGGAATGAATTACTATATGGGGGATGAATTACTATGGGGGATGAATTACTATATGGGGGATGAATTACTATAGGGGGGATGAATTACTATAGGGGGGATGAATTACTATATGGGGGATGAATTACTATGGGGGATGAATTACTATATGGGGGATGAATTACTATATGGGGGATTAATTACTATGGGGGATGAATTACTATATGGGGGATGAATTACTATGGGGGATGAATTACTATGTGGGGGATGAATTACTATATGGGGGATGAATTACTATATGGGGGATGAATTACTATATGGGGGATGAATTACTATGGGGGATGAATTACTATATGGGGGATGAATTACTATATGGGGGATGAATTACTATGGGGGATGAATTACTATATGGGGGATGAATTACTATGGGGGATGAATTACTATATGGGGGATGAATTACTATATGGGGGATGAATTACTATGGGGGATGAATTACTATATGGGGAATGAATTACTATATGGGGGATGAATTACTATGGGGGATGAATTACTATATGGGGGATGAATTACTATGGGGGATGAATTACTATGGGGGATGAATTACTATATGGGGGATGTATTTTCAGTTTTAAAAATGTGGCTCTCAAAATAAATTTCAATCGTGGTTTTGGCGAGATTTGGCTCAGTTGAAAAAAAAGGTTGCCCACCACTGACCTAAGGCTATGATTGTGATTATGACGATACACTGTGGCCCTGATTAACCCTTTGCTTACTGGGCCCTTAAACCCCCTTCATGACCAGAGCGCTTTTTGCAATATATGCAGTGTCGGATTTGTTTTAAATGTTGCAATGGTTTTGCGGCTCCCAGTCTTTTTTTTCCCTCTCGGAAATGGGTCCAAGTGGCTCTTTATGTCTTAAAGGTTGCAGACCCCTGCCCTATAGCAAAGGGGTCTAAGGATCTGTTAAGCCTCCGGTTTGATATTACGGTGGTGGAAATTCACATTGGTGGTTATGTTGGAATGAAGATTTCACTACATATCACAAGAACCAGGGGACTGGTTTACACTTTTACCCCCAGTTCACACCTATGCGGCCGTGTGGGCTGAGTTTTGCTCAGGCATGAGAGCCCATTCATTTGAATGGACTCCTGTGCCCGTGACACGCAGGGAAGAAGTCCCTGCACTACTTTTGAAAATGCAGCCGAGGTTCCCAGTACGGTTGCGTTTTCCAGTGCAGGAGGCGTGCCATTAGAACTAATGGCACCCACCCACAGGTCCGCAATTCTCTGTGCGGGTGGTGCGGCTGCATGGATTTTCATGCAGATCCGCAGCAGCACCACCCGCACAGATCTGAACCTAGGGTCATGGACTGTTTGTGATTTGCTTTTTATTTTATGGTTTATTTTGAGCACCAATTTGTTTATGTAGTATTGAATGTACACCATTAGCAGATTTTGTATGTAACTTCCACATTGATTGTTTATACTGAGCGCAACATGAATTAGCATTTGATATATATATTTATACAGGCTAATGAATGGACTTTATTTTGTACACAAACCCATTTTTAAGAGTCTCTAGTCAAGTGAGAACATTGGTGAGTCAATAAGGTCTTTTAACTTTACCCTTCTCAGAGTCTACAATTATTGGGCTGTCTTTACATTCCATCCCACTGATAAAAAAAAGTCTCATATTTAAGATTCTAAGTCATCTGGATTCAATCTAGTGCTGGTCTTCACACTCAGTGCCATTTAACCCACTCCCTTTGAGTTCAGAGTATCTAGGGTACGCCCCATGGGGGCATGTTATCAAGCCCCCCAGAACTCACAAGACAATACAGCAGAGAACGCCATGCTTTGTCAAGGCTGGACTTGGGCTTTAGTTCTCTAATGGGACAAATCCATGGACAAAATCTGTCATGAGAGGTTCTCTTTTTTTTCTTTCCTTCTCTCAGGGGGACTGGATATGGCTCAAAAGGTTTCCTGGAGAGAAGCACAGTGATATTCGGCCAACCACAAAGAATGTGTTCTGTACGGTAAGTTAGGGGAGAAATCCACAAAGTTGGTGGTAGTTTGCCCAGTACAGTGGTCATATGCTTAGTAAGGATGTGACTTCTGATCAATGTCTTTCCTATCCAACATTTAGATATAGTTGCTTGCTTCATTGCTTACATCCCTAGTGAACAGGCCATCAGCCAAAAATATTCAACCAAGCCTATAGCCTTTAGCCCAAAGGGAGGTCTACTGTGAGCTGTGATCTGATATATACATGCTGATCACCACTTGGACCTTCCAAATATTCTCTGGAATTGTGGAATTGTGTTCACCCTGATAGACTAGTCTAAACATTTCCTCAATACTCCCTTGTCCAGCATTACCTTTTGCATTTTCTTCTATCCTTCTCCTTCATTTCCAATTTGCTAACTCTCATTCATCCTCTGCCACTGCCATCTGCCTTTTTATTTAACCTACTGTTCCTTCACGTCTTAGTCTGCAGGCCATGCCTTCGTTTGGTCCTTTAGCAGGTAAAATAGTTTGATATTTAGCACACTCTGGTTTCATAGGACTTACAAGCATGTTTTGTTCCTCAGCTCCGTGAACTCCGCCATGAGAATGTAAACCTGTACTTGGGTTTGTTCCATGACATGGGTGTCCTTGGAGTGGTGTCAGAACATTGCTCTCGTGGAAGCCTTGAGGATCTTATTCAAAACCAAGATATGAAGCTTGACTGGATGTTTAAATCCTCCCTGCTTCTTGATCTCATCAAGGTAGGATGAAGGCACAGTATGGTCAAATGTTTACAGTAGTAATATCAAAGTGGTGTTTTTTTGGGGGGCATATGCAACCCTCACTTGTGACCCCCTAACCCAGATAGAGGATATAAACTGAACGAAGACTCAATATGGCATAAAACTATTGCGCAGTTCGGAAAATGGCATCCTTATCGGGCCAGAAATTTGGAAAGTTGCATAAATCTAATAAAGAAAATGAGTCATTATAGAGTTACTAAACCCACACAACAGTACAATCAGTCTGTAGATGCAGGAAAGCATGCTTGTTATACTCACTGTGGAACCTAAGGGGTTAATCCTCCGCATTGTGTAAATAGGATGTTTGATCTTATCTTCTTTGCTCCTCCCCTTCTTCTACTGTCCCCAATCCATTTGCAGATAGAACAGAGCCTTGGGGGCAAGCTGCACATGCTCAGTTTGGTGTGCATTGCTAGAGAGTTTTTTTTGGGGGGGAGAGTGCATGTGATCAGCACAGGGCCAATCAGCACTGTCCAGACAGAGGGTCAGGGGTCCTGCAGCCTCATAAGACAATCAGGGGAAAATAAAAACTCTTCCTACAAGCTTTAACCAACGCTGGACACTGATAGAAGTCACACGACTGCTTTAACTGCTGATGAAAAAAGGTATTTAGCAGTTTATATTTACTAAAATATTTGCATTTCCATGTTCTGCGGGGAGACCAGATATACTAAATGCAGGGTCATGGGTTTAGTAAAACTTTAATATTTTTTTTGCAAACTTGTACTGCAGCCCTCAACAAAATGTTTCCCTTTATCACACAGGTGGCTGGGGGGGGGGGGGGAGACAGTAAAAGCAGGAAACTGAACCTTGGTTTTCCCACTCCTCAGCTGCTCACTTAAAGGCTAAACAATAGGAGGAGTCTGTTCAAATGCCGCAGCAGTGATCCTTTTTCTCACAGCCACAGAAAATGTAATGCAAGCAGCTGAGTTGACAATGCCTGACAAACCCAACCATTCAACTCAATGGGGTTGCGCTACGACTGCCATTCAGCAAAAAAAAAACCCCAGCAGGTTCATCTCCTGAACATCTGACAGCAGCTGCTAAGCGATCCACTTTGGACCAGTTTTCAGAGCTAGTGTGAACCTAACCTTTATGTGGACCCTGATTTATAGGATCCAAAGATTTCTTGTCTAGTTAAAGCGTATCTAAACCCAGGGGCGGACTGACCATTTGGAAACTCGAGCACTGCCCGAGGGCCCGGGGTCAATAGGGGGCCCCATGAGATGCCCCTGGTACCTTTTTCATAGGTTTTTGTGAGTTTGGGCAAGGACACAGGGGCCCCATGATCCCCTATTGCCTGGGGGTTTCATGAGTTGTCAGTCCGCCCCTGCCTGAACCCAAAACAAAAATGTAATAAATTACAGCTCACCAGTCTATAGATGGCTTTACTTGCTTTCTTTTTTCAAGTTTTTTTTTTTTTTTTTTTTAATTTATTTTTTGTATTTCAATGGTTTTTATTAATTTTAAACAGTATAAAACAGAGGCAACAAAACACGCCCACGCAGGGGCTATCAATTGCACCGATAGAAAATGTATAATAGAGCAGACAACGCTCTAATTCCAATAAGGCAAAACGTATGCCCACGTAGGGGCTATCAATGGCACATAGGTTACAATAACATCAGTGAAACTCAGATTATCGCAACTAAAGACAGCTGTCCACTGTCACATCAAAACAAACAGAAAAGGAAAGAAGAAAAGCAGAGAAGAAAGAAAGAGGAAAAACAAAAACAAAAACACACACCAGAGAAGTTTTTTATCTGATTTTGCCAGTAATGCAGGCCATAGACGGGACGTTTATCGGCCGAATTGTCGGTCGATGAATGAAAAATTGGTAGTTGCTGCCACCAATGCTGCCACCAATGCTTACGAAAAATGGCCGTTGTTCATAGATTTTTCAGCATGACCAATAAAAAGAAACGAGAAGAACCGCGAAAATCGGCCGACGACATTGCCCCACTAACGGTGTGAATATCGGCCGATTTTTTGGTCGGACGAAAAAATTCGGCCAATAAACAACCTGTCTAAGGCCTGCATTACACACTTCCAGTCCTAGAGTGATAATGCTAACTCAGCCTTCTGTAAAAAAAACAACAAAAACAAGGCAGGAATACAGAACCCCCACCTAGTACTGGGACACAATCATCCAGTGCTCAGGGCGAGGATGGGAAACTGCTCCCTCACCTTGAGACCCAGCAAAGTGTCCCTGAGTTGGTGGTGTCAATGGAAGGAACAAAGGTCCCTGTGCCTGTGGTGTTACTGAAAGGAAAAATGTCCCTGACTCAGTGGTGTTACTGAAAAGAAAAAAATTCCCTGTATCCACGGTGTCACTGGAAGAAAAAAAACTGTCCCTGTACTGGAGGTGTCACTGAAAGGAAAAATGTCCCTATGTCCCTGTGTAGGTGGTATCACTGATAGTAAAATTTGTCCCTGAGTTGGTGTCACTGAAAATAAAACATGTCCCTGTGTTGGTGATGTTACTGAAAAAATGTCCCTAGTCAATTGTGTCACTGGAAGGATAAAATGTCCCTTTATCAGTGGTATCACTGAAAAGAAAAATGTATAGAGCTCTTTCTCCACTCCCTCCCTCTTTACAGAGTTCTTCCTCATCCTCCAAATGCAGAGCTTCCTCCCAGAGAAAACCCAAATGGCAGCACCCTGGTTGAGAGACACTGCTTTGACATACCAAAGAGGACCAAACAGAAGTTCATTGATGTGGTTTTTCATACACATTATGCCTAAGGTCCAGGTAACTAGCTCATGGTAAAAAAAAAAATAATGCTTTTTTTCTGGTAATTTTTAGGGTTTGAAGTTCCTCCATCACCGTGAAATTGTTCATGGGCATCTGAAGTCTAGGAACTGTGTTGTAGATGGCAGATTTGTGCTGAAATTAACAGACTACGGAATTAATGAATTATACGAAGCTCAAAGAATTACGGCAGCAGAACCCCAACATGAAGGTACAGCAACAAAATTTCTTTTGACGCGAGAGTGGTTTATACTATCAGTTCCATGAATAGAGCAGTGTTGAAAACATGCACTCCTTTCATAATGTCAGAGGTTCATTTCTTGTGAGATAAAGATAACTCAATTAGAGCTGTTTTTACAGAACATCCCCTCCTAACAACACATAAATGAATACATGTAGTCAAGCACAAACCCAAGCCTATGAAAAATGTCATGTAATAACAATATAATAGTTATTTATAAACTGTATTGCCAGAAGTATTGGTCGGCCTGCCTTTACACGCACATGAACTTTAATGGCATCCCAGTCTTAGTCTGTAGGGTTCCATGTTGAGTTGGCCCCGCCTTTTTCAGCTATAACAGCTTCAACTCTTCTGGGAAGGCCGTCCACAAGGTTTAGGAGGGTGTCTATGGGAAGGTTGGACCATTCTTCCAGAAGCACATTTGTGAGGTCAGGCACTGATGTCGGACGAGAAGGCCTGGCTCGCAGTCTCCGCTCTAATTCATCCTAAAAGTGTTCTATGGGGTTGAGGTCAGGACTCTGTGCAGGCCAGTCAAGTTCCTCCACCCCAAAC